GGATCATGTTGGAACATTGATCGTCCATGTCTCTCTCACTGCAGTGGTAGTAAACAATCGGCCAGCCTCCTTTGTCCATAGCACTAAACCACACCCCCTCCTTTTGTCATGCATTCCCTCTCTCCCTCTATTCCTATATTTCTCTTGCTTTATATAAACCTCTATTATCTCTCTTTACCACAGTAAACCTGCATTTCTCCTTCTCCCTCTGTCTATAGCTCTGCCTGTCTGTCTCTCTCTCTCCCTTTCTGAAGAGCTGTGACGCTGAGCTGCTAATGCTAACTAGCAGCTGCTGCTAACAAGCTAGCTAATGAAACAGAGAGACAGACAGACAGACAGAGAGACAGAGAGAGTGCTGGCAGATTCAAACCTTGGCTGATAGTGGTCCAGTCTTGTAGAAGAATAGAGTCCAGGTAGAGCTAGTATAGCTTCTGATGGCAGCGCAGCTCTCTCTCTTTCCCTCTTTCTCTCACACACAAACTAGCTCATCCTCCTCTCTCTCACACACATTGTGCTCCTCCCCCTCCACACACACACACACACACGTCATCCTCCTCTGTTCTCACGCGCGCATGCATTCACACACACTCAGCCCCCTTCACTCTTTTCCAACTCACACACAAAAATGGGCATTCCGTCAAGGGCTTCCCACAATCCCTTGCGCCACACAAAGAGAAGGGGGTGTGACCAATCACACACTGCCTCACTCTCCACTCGTACTCCCCCCACCTCACTGTGTGATGCCCACCGACATACAGCTTGTGGGCGGGCTGCCAAAAGGATCTCCATGACAACGCATCCCCAGTTGCTCTTTGTCACACACACACACACACACACACACACACACACACACACACACACACACACACACACACACACACACACACACATTCCCATTAAGGATGTAGCATGTCTCTGCTCTGCTACATATAACTTGCTACACTGTGTGTGTGTGTGTGTGTGTGTGTGTGTGTGTGTGTGTGTGTGTGTGTGTGTGTGTGTGTGTGTGTGTGTGTGTGTGCGTGTGCACATGCTCTCTGAGCCAGTGATGCAGTACTGCAGCTGGGTTCTGGTGACCCAGTTAGAACACTAAAGCTGGATGTAGGACACACACACACACAAACACATTCCAGAACTATGAAACGGTTGTGTAAGGGATAAGGGGTCTTGAATTTCCTTTTGCAATAATGATCGGATTGCTGCACATAATCTCACTTATAACAAGACTGCTTTACTTAATAAATCAATCATTTGATACAACATATAGATTTAGAAACATTTTTAATGATCTGTTCCAGTAACAGCTGGAACTGCAGCATTATTAATGCAATGTAAAATATAAGTATGCATACATCATACATACATACACACACACACAAACACGCATGCATACACACATATATACGAACACGCATACATGTTTGTAAATACAGATTCTGAGGTTTTTGCTAATCACATCAAAAAATTAAGAATACTGTTTAATTAAAGCACTTTGAATTGCCTTGTGTTGAAAAGTGCTATATAAATAAACTTGCCTTGCCTTGCCTTAATTGATTATCTACAAGGATCTACAAATTACGATGGTCAGTCAGGGAGACAATAACACAGTGTCATTGGAGTGTGAGGAGGTGTTTCCCATAGCAACATGTTTGATTACGATGTTGTCCTCTCCGTGGATGGCCTGATGCCACAGATATTTTCTTTTATGGTCCTTTTTTTCCAATTAAAGTATACAAAACACTTCACAGAAAAACGACTCTATAGCCCCCCCCCCCCCCCCCAAACTTTAACCAGCCCCTTGCTCACGCTCACACCTTCAAGTCTAAAATTTGCTAGCGTATGTAACATGCTGAGACCATGGTTGAGACGCACAAAAAAGCCTATTGGTGTCACATCGTTATCCCAACAGGAGGTTGTCATTTTCGATTTCACATGCTATATTTTGACAATTGTTGTACTTTATACATACCGCATTTGAACGGCTGTATAAACATACTTGCCGTTTAAAAAAAAAAAATGTTCCCATCAACTTCAAATTATGTCATTACCATCTTAGGACGTTAAAGATCGAAAGTTATTAAGAGCTTTTCTCTCCATTGAACGCCCTCGCCGTGGCATGGTGGTGAAATAGCACCCATCGCAGTAAAACAGGAAGTGGCTGGATCTCCATCATACATTTTTCAATATGCTCCGAATTCCTTACGGATGATAACAGTCCAAGCTTTAAGATATCTAAACATCAATATTCGCTCATTGACAAAGCGCCACCAACTGACAACAGGAAGTCACATTTGTATTGTAAAGGGACCCTGTGCTTATCATAGGTTTCTGTGCATGTGAATGGTCTGCAAAGGCTCAAGTCCCTGGGTGCTTCTCAATGTCGAGGAAGGCTGCTCCAGAGCCACTATTTCAAGCATATACGTCATCGAGTCCCGCCGAAGGACCGTTCCAATGTCCAGCATACTTGGAATTCTACCGAGGCCGGCGTACTTCGTAGCGAGACATTTTGAGGCTGCACATGTGTAGACTCCTGGTCTTAAAATCCCCACAATGCTTTGCGCACCGACCAATTTCCAAATATTTGGCGGAAATCGCGCTCCTTTTAAGGCGGGGCCTCGCATATGACGCACACCTGTTAGCCCGTTCCACAATTCTTCGTTTTCCGAGGCTAGGAAGGATTCTTGCCTCGCTTCTGAAGGAAGTGACTCGGAAGACATGTCCTACCAAGGAAGCGTCCTCGACATTTAGAAACACCCCCTGTGTTCTCACCAGAGGGAGTTTCTCTCACACACTCCTCCCCCTACCTGGAAAGCCTTGATTGTAGACCTTTGTTTACTTCCGCGACATAGTGACATCACTTTGGAACACTCACGCTTCTATTGGCTGGCCTTCCAACACGCTGTACGTGATAGGATGAGGGTCAGGACATAATGTATCTAAGCGATTGACCAATCACAACAGAGCCAGCCAGCTAACCAATCAGAGCAGACTGGGCTCTGGTTTTAGACAGAGGGTGAAAATAAAGAGCTTTTTGAACATTAAAGCATGGAGCCATGTCACAGTCGAGGAACAAAACACAAATATGAACTTGAAAATTATAATAATAGGGCGCCTTTAACATCCTCCTAGTCTCTTTTAAATCTGGTCACAAAAGCCTGAAGACATGAGAGAAGCTTCATAGTGAAAGTTGTGCTCCTGCGGTGAAGGTGCATCGTCCTTTTCCATTGACAAACATACAGTTGTAACTTTATATAGTCACACATTTTCCAAACTTTATGCATTTCATGAGGGTCCACCCTAAGAACACCTTCAGGTCAATTTTCAATCATGGTCATAGTGCCACCAAGTGGCGGGAAGTTACTGCTGCTACACTTTGACTTATTGCTATTAGCAGGTTAACCAGAACACCTTCATATTTAGTCGGTCCAAGTCTAGACCTTCAGCTTGCCAGCATGCGAAGGTTATGCGCTTACTAGAAAACCCTTTTCATGTGTTAAATATCTCCTATCATGCTATTTTTAGGCATATATTATGGGTCTCAGACAGGGGCGTCGTAGTGGGGGGACAAGTGGGACTGACTACCCAGGGCCCTTGAAAGGCATGGAATTAAAAGTTTGTTTGCACTTTTTTTTTTTGTAGATAGTGTCATAATTAAAATGCTCAAAATACCAAACAGATCATGCATTTTAGACATCCCTCATATCCCTCTGTTTCAGCCCTGTTAGAGAAGGGCTGATTCTGGGTCCTTAGCTATAAAAAATAAAAAAATAAAAGAGGGGGGGGGGGGGGGGGGGGGGGGGAGCTTATGCCTGCTCAGAATTCTACCGAGATACTCAGCTAAATCCTGCCGTGATTAAACGCCATATCATGTTCAAAACCACATCAAGCATTATTATTATCAAGGTGAGTTCCTTTTTATTTCCTGCTATTTTACACACACTCTCTCCAGTACAGGTTAGCTCTGACTGTTAGCGATGCTTGCTAATGTAAACAAAGACCATATTACGTCCAAAACACGTTGCGCATTGTTTCTGATACAGTGACGTTTCTGATAGGGCCGTGGGTGTAAAGCCAGCCCACATTTCAGATATTACGTCATATCGGCAGCAAATCTGGATCAGCTCCGTTGTACTCCCGTTTTTTTTAGAGATGTGGGTACGGAGGAAAAGAGAGAGGGTTTTCTTTTTCAGACACTTTGTGAGTTCCCTGACACACCGGGGACACACAAAAAAAAAGTGCATTTTGCATAATAGGAGACCTTTAATATATAGTTAGCCATGAAACAGCGGGTACTTTCTGGGCTTAGGGATGCATGCACCTGCACCAAAATTGGCACGCATTCACAGTGATAAACTTAGTCAACTGATATGGTTATTGTGTTTTGGTGTGGCGAGGTTATTCAATAGAAAAACTTTAACGAAGCAGACTTTGCTGCACGTTTTACGACATTTATAGGCAGGTGATTTATGTATCACGGGTAGGGATGGGTATCGTTATGGTTTTAAAGGTACTACTACTTTCTTCGATACCGCTTATCGGTCCGGTCTTTTAACGGTACTTTTATCTGTTCTTTTGGAGAAAAAAATAAGGTAAACTAACTAAACAAATTGTGAACTAAACTAACATTCTTTTTATTTAAATTAAATACATAATATTTCACATCAAAAGAAACGACAACATTTTAACAAGTCGTATTAAATAATCTGATGACAGAACTGTAAACAGAATAGCTGAAACTTTAACAAAATAAATAACTCTGTTACCTCTAATCATTGTTAAGGACAACAGTTCCACACCGGAGTTACCCAAAACAATCATTTATTTTATGTAACACAGAGGTTACAAACAACAATAAAACAGAACAAAGGAGCGGTGTCCTGCTGCACCGAGCAGGGCAGCTGAGAGAGAGCGAGAGCCTGTTCTGCAGCCCTCTTATATCCTGGAATCAGCGCCACAGGTGGGTCTCATCACTGCTGATTACAACAAACACACAGGTTACACCAGCACCACCTGGTGGACAACCACAGGGTTGTCACACCCCCCCCCCCCCCCCATAAAAGAAGTGTCCCCAAGACACTGAAACATCCAAACAAATAACAGAGCTTATACTTACAGCTACTACATGAAACATACATTTATTTGATTTTTCCTTACAAAAGAGTTTATGTTTAAGTTAAGCTCCAGGATAATTAGGGGAAACAAAGATTTTTTGAGATTGCTTCAAATAAACCACCAAAAGATCTCCATCTACTCGCTGGTAGGAGAATATATAAAGATCTTAAAGTCCGTTACGAGAGTCAACTTCCATTTGTGGCATGTACTGAATGTCTGCTGAGGAATGGGAGCTTCCAAACCCGAGCGAACATGCAGGGCAGCTCAGACGAGGCATTTGAAGCTGTAGGTGGCGTCGCAGGACAACCTCGAGCCCTTTCAGCGACAACACAGGTCTTGGCGGTGAGGCCTCTTCATGTTAATGTGCCGCAGCTTCTTCTCACAGTTGCAGGTAGTCTGAGAGCAGTCCTTGCAGAGGATGGGCTCCACCCTGTAGGGGTTAAACCCAACCTGACACTTCCGGCAGTGCTGTTTGTAGTACACCTTACTGGTTCCAGAGATGCACCAAACATATTCACTCTCCCACCGGATGTTGCATTTCTTGCAGTGGAAAAAGCCATACCTCTGCTCCAGGAACTGAAAGCTGGACCCCTTTGTAGACCTGTGGAAAGTTGTCTTGAAGTCCTTCCCGGTGTCCTCTTCACCACTGTCACCCTTCTCACATTCATGCCCTGACTCAACGTGATCCACGGATTCGTCGGCTTCTCCTTCACTTTCATCCGCATTGCTGAGTTTCTTCCTGGAGATTCTGCGGTCAAACACGGGGGAGTAGATTGACACAGGCCGCAGGAAGCGCATGTGGCTCACCGGTGTAGTGCAGTACGGGGCCTTCCCCTCTGCTTTAACCAGCCCCGGGCTCTTGGGGGACTTTGACAGGGGCACTCCCTCTGAGCAGAACAGCGTTTTAGGACCCAGCGAGCACTGCACGGTTTTATCCACTTTGACATTCACCTGCACGCCGGACTCTTTGGTGATGACTTTCCTCAGTGGGACTAGTACACTGGGGTGAACCTGGGACAAAAGCTCCTGCACAGTTGGATCCTCCTGCTGCTTCTTTGCCAATTCACTAGGAGAGACAGACAATGGAACAACAGGTAGCGCCAAAACAATATTCTCAGAAATGACTTTTTTTATCTTGTGCTTTATAGGTCTGGGCTCGTGTTACTGCACAAGCTGGAACTACCTTTGTCAGCTTCTTCTCAGGGTCAGCAAGCTCGCCCCTCACTGGCTTAGAGGACACCACTGGTGAAAGAGGCACATCAGGCCACACTCTGCCGCCAGCCAAGTCATTTCCGAGGATGACTGCCACTGCCGGAACAAGCAAAGATGGCCGGACTCCCATGGCAACCTCACCCTGCCGTAAATCACAGGACAACACCAACCGATGCTTTGGAGCAGACAGCAACTGCATCCCCATTCCCTTGAACAATACACCACTTCCAGTGTCAGTTACCGAGGAAAATGGAAGAACACCCTCAGTTATGTATGAATCGATAGCACCTGTGTCTCTCAGTATCTTAACAAGGAATTTTTTTTCACTTCCTTGCAAAGACACATAACCCTCTCGTATGAAAGGGGCATACCCTGGATCAATTTCATCTGCCAACTGGGAGGGGCGAGGCTTCACCTCTTGCAGGGCTGGTCCGTAGTTAGAAACCGCAGCAGCAACTGGTTGCGGGGTAGTATAGAGTTTAACCGCAGCTATAGCGTCATCCCTAGTAACCTTGTGGGGAGAAGCTGCAAGGGCAACAGGCCTGGGAAACTGAACATTTTGGAATCCCTTGGTTTTTGCAAGTACTGGGCATTCCTTTTTCTGGTGTCCTTTACCCAAACAAAAGTAGCAAGTACTTGGATCTACTTTACATCTGGGGTCACCAGACCAGTTATCTCTGCTCCCCCAGTCAAATCTCTCCCCTGAATGAATCTTGTGTGTTAACGTGTATTCATCAGCTAACACTCCGGCGTCTGTTACATTTTTAACCTTATTCTCATTCAGGTACGTAGCAACACGTTCTGGAAGAATATCTTTTAATTGTTCAAGAAGGAACAGTTCCCTCAAATCATTAAGATGTACTACTTCGGAAGCCGTGACCCACCGATTAAATTTCATCATCAGCTCCCGAACAAGTTCCACATAGGTCTGTCCTTCTGACTTCCTTAGCTTCCTGAACTGCTGACGGTAGGCCTCAGGCACCAACTCATAAGCTTTTAGCACTGCAGTCTTTACCCTTAAATAATCTTCACTGTCAGCCATACTTAATGCAGAAAATGCTTCTTGAGCCCTACCAGTTAACACACACTGTAACAGCAATGTTTTCTCTGAATCAGACCACTGTCGTCTTTGGCTAAGTCGCTCAAAAAGTCCAAAAAAAGAATCTACAGTCTTCTCCTCGAATTTCGGTAACAACCTCAAGTTATAAGCTATATCAAAAGTAGCTGGGGACACCCCAGAAGAAAGCTTACCCTCTTGGATGAGGTCCAACTTGTAACGCTCTTGTTGCAATTCAGCTCCCCGCACCACTGTAGTTAACCTTAAACGCTCCATCTCAGTTTCCTGGTCACGAGCTCTAGCCCGGTCCTCACGAGCGAGACGTTCACTGTCTTGTTGGTACTGCAGCAGCATTATTTCCTTTCTCTGTTCAAATGTCATTTCACCAAAGTCAAACAAAGAAAAACCTGCACTTCTCTGCCGCTCTGGATTTATATCTGCCTTCGCCAACTCCTTCTCGGAGCCATCATCGACAGCCCCTGCTGGCAGAACTTCTTGCATTATCAACTGGGCCTGCAACATAGTCACTATGGTGTCTTTACGACCCTGCTTTGGAACGTCTACCTCAAAATGCTCTGCAATTTTTAACAGTTGGTCTTTAGTACATTTTTCTAGTAGTTCCACACTGGGACACTTCACAAAATCTGTCAATGTAGCCATGACTATGCAAACTCCCTTGAACCCGGTGCACAGACACCTAAAAAAATATATATATTTTTGTTTCACTCTGGAATACCTCTCCCCTAGCTAACTGCCTACCCAATACTAGCTATCTTGTCTCACCCTAGTCTTCATGCATGCCACGACAGGTGTTTTAAACACTTACCCAATGACCCGGTAAAGCCCCAGCGAAGCTGTTACTCACCAAGACAGCCACGGACGTGTACCCATGACAAAAAAATGTCGAATCATGTTTATGCACAAAAATAACAAACAAAAATAACAAACCAACAAGCTCCCCTGAAGGAGATGTTGCTTATGCCTATCAGGAAAGGTAATTCCAAAGCTACTCCTTAATGCCCCACACCAGGAACAAACTGTCTACACAATCAAGGCAAACAAATCAAGTAACCAACTATCACCTGGTTCTTGGATCGGACGAGACCCCATATGTTACAAGCTGGCTCTGCTTGTAACATAAGGACAACAGTTCCACACCGGAGTTGCCCAAAACAATCATTTATTTTATGTAACACAGAGGTTACAAACAACAATAAAACAGAACAGAGGAGCGGTGTCCTGCTGCACCGAGCAGGGCAGCTGAGAGAGAGCGAGAGCCTGTTCTGCAGCCCTCTTATATCCTGGAATCAGCGCCACAGGTGGGTCTCATCACTACTGATTACAACAAACACACAGGTTACAGCAGCACCACCGGGTGGACAACCACAGGGTTGTCACATCATTAACCCATGTTTGTATAATGTAGTTAACTCCGTGTGTTGCTGCTAGCATACATAACACCTGACGTGGAAAAGTTACTCGTGGATGGGGCTACAGAGCTACTAGAAAGACAGTTGAACCCGGTGCATTCCTCCGTCTGAATGTGGTGCACTGCTAAATGTTTAGACAAATTGCTCGTGTTACCGCCCTTACATGCTAAACTCTTATTGCACTTTAGGCAACGCGCATCGAGACGGGTAAAGTTTAACCACACCTCGGAACGCGTTCTCTCCGCCATCTTCTCCATGTGTGTTGTGTGTGTGTGTGTAAACTGCCCCGCCCCCTCGCAAGCAGGCGGGGGAGAGATCGAAAATACAAAAATAATCATAGAAGCATTTTTGCAGTCTTTTTGCATGTTAGAAACGGAGTTGGCAAACACTAAAACTGCAATATAATGTTTGTGTAGCAATAATACATATATTTTTTACATGTCTCCAGTACCGATAAAAAGACCGCTAACGTTGGAGCTTAACGGTACCACGGTAAACTTTAATAATTCAGCCCCGGGGCCCGTTTAATACTGGGGCTCGGTACCCATCCCTAATCACGGGTACCCTTTTTTAAATAAGTCTCTTTGGGCTATCGTCGTAATCTCATAGGAATACAGCCATTTCAGTGTTTTTTGGCCAATTTCAAGCTCTGTACCAGAGGTTGCGCTTGGCTTTTTCACTGCCCGTCATTTTGACGGACAGGATCGTAAAATGTTCGTCAAAATTCAGTATTACCCGTCGGCCTTTACACTATGGGGGGGGGGGGGGGGGGGGGGAGAGAGAAAGAGAACAGTCAACCGTGGGGGGGGGGGGAGAGCACGGTCGTGAACTGTCAACAGATGGCGGGGCACACGCTCGTGAACCGTTAGTGCCGTGTTATGCATGCCCACTGCACCTCGCGGGAGTGCGCACAGTGTAAAGCAAAAACTCACAGACATTTCAATGATTTGTAGGGCAAAGTTGGGTTTAGAAACGGTATCATTTCCTTTTTGGCAGGCATGCTTAACACCGGAGCCTCGCTGCGGGGAAACTTTGGCGCTGTTCCGAGTTTGTTCTAATCCGTCAAAATGACGGACTGCTTTCAGATTTTTGCGTCATTGTTAAAAAAAATCCGTCATAGACGGAAAATATTCGGTTAACGCGACCTCTGCTCTGTACTTTAACGCCTCCTACAGATTTAATCCGATTTACAATCCGATTTTAACAAGGTTGCTGTAACTTGAGAGTACAGTCTCCAAACTCCCCGCCTGAGGATTTTGCAGGTCAATATAGCGTCATAGTGATAGATAGCAACAAGAAGTCAGCCCTATGTGATATGAACACTCAATATGAAAAATGATGATGTGTAGTCTACACATGACAATGAGCAACTGTGCAATAATGTTGCTAACTCCATCAAAGTAGTCAATTATCTTTATTACGTTTCTTGTGTAATGTTGGTCTCATTTAATAAATTGGCAAAACTTTAAATGATACGTTGAGGTTAAAGTAAGTTCTGTGAGCTTGCTTTGTCAAAGATTGTGGTCTCCGATGGAGGTCTGCATGGGTCTTCATCTACACTGTCGATTTCCCACATCTCCGACAATCTCTCCTGTTCTCAACTGGACTTTATCTTCCTAAAGGCGGACTTTGTTGGAATATTGTATTGAAACTCTGAAATTCTATCATTACAGTAATTGCATGAAAATGATTATGTTGGTTGTGAGTTTAATTTGGACCAGTTCCTGGATACTATGGAAAAGGAATTGATCAGGATGAAGATCTGGTTTGACCAAAATAAATTAACATTAAACCTAAGCAAAACCAAACTCATAATATGTGGGAATCTATCAACCAATTCAGAGAAGAAACTCACAATAAATGGCATACAATTAGAAATAGTATCGGAAATACAATTCCTTGGAGTAATGATTGACAATAAAAATAAGTTTGAAACCACATACAAGTTATCTTATCTTATAGTTAGCCAAAAAAATACCCAAATCAATAGCAATTCTGAATAAAGCCAAAGACCTAACGAATCAAGCTTCCTTGTGTATGCTGTACTGCTCCTCCATACATGATGTACTGTGTGGACACATCCAATCTTCATCCCGCACAAAATAGCCATACGAATCATACATACAACTACCTACTGTACAGAGTCAACAAATGTATTATTTATCAAAATCAAAACACTAAAACTACAAGACCAGAGGCCTGTACTACGAAGCAGGATTTTCGCTTAGCCGGCTAACTTCAGGGAAAACTCGGGGTTTCCGGTCCTACGACGCTGGTTCTCTTTTTAGCAGGCTAGATCTCCATGGTAACTTATGCTGAAAGGCTAACCTGCCCCGGAGCAGGTTAGGTTGCAGGCTAAGAGCTCAACTCAGTGAAAGCACTGCCTGCTGACCAATCAGAGCTCAGTGTGCAGAGTTTAAAGCGATCAAGTCATATTATGGCGCATTTCCACTGCAGCGGGGTAGCCCCGTTTAAGCGTCCCTAAGCGTCCTCGCTCAAGCCTCGGGCTGCCTCGCTGGCCGTCCGAGGCCGTGGCGCATTTCCATTACAGTTTAGGACCTGGGGTAGCAACGCAGTGTAGGCGGGGCGATCGGCTTTTTGGCGGGCTTTTTGGCGGGCTTTTGCCTCATGAAAAGAAATGACTGTGATGTGAAACTTGTGAAATCCATGGTGCTGACATGCTGTGCTCTGCATAACCTCTGCGAGAGTCATGGAGAGGACTATGATGATGGGTGGAATGCACCAGCAGCAGCAGAGCCAGGTGCAGAGGAGGAGGGCACTGACATCAGAGAGGGTTTGATGCGCTACCTGAATACCTAAATATGCATTATATTGTATTCATTGTATTGAACATAAATACATCTTTTTTTTTTCATATACATGTGTTTGTCAAATGTTTTAAACAAATGTTGTTATCTGAATTGAATATTTAGTAAATATTTGAATTTCAAGCACCAGTAAGTACTGCCCCATAATAAGAACATTTGAGGAAATATCAGATCATGAAAAGAAAATCTTTCTAATCAATTAAGCGAATATCAAAGCTAACTATAAACATAAATACTAAAGTGTAAAACACAGCAAAACTATATTCATAAATGCAAGTGTAAAATAGTGTGGACAATTGTAAACATGGATGGAGGCTAAAGTATCCACAGCATAAAATATATTAAAATATAACCTCAATCTTTCTTCTAGACATGTTAAAAGCTTGCTTGAATGGGTTATAGGTTTCTTTTGTTCTCTCGTCTTTGAAATATATAAGGAATGTGTTGTTTGAGTCTAGTAGAACGAGGGTATTACAATTGAGCAATTTCTACATGTATTATGTATTTATCATGTATTCTTAATACTATTACAAAATAAACATGTAATAATGTTTTGGAGGAGGACCTCAAGCTAACAAACTCAATTTCTTGCTTTAAATCTCTTAAAACTAACTTATCTTATCGGCTTTTTCCTAACTGATGGTGTTTGTTATTGCTTTATAAATTCATGTATGAAATATATCTTCTCTAAATCAAGATTATGTGAATCTGATTTTTTTCTGTTGGGTGCAATTCATTATCAACAAGAGATAAGATAAGTCAAATAAGTACTTTATTGATGGCAGTATACAAATACAAAAAAAAAAATTGTATCAAAAAGGCTTGCCTTTAAACAATACAAATAAAAAATGTAAAACTGTATTGCAGCCAGCATAAATATACATGGCATTGTAAAAATAAATATAAAATATGAACATTTTAAAGAAAATAAATAAACAAGAAAGTACAAATGTTGCATTTAAAAATTAACTAGATAAAAAATATATAATATGTACAATAACTATTAAGGTTATTTTAAGTATCACGGAGGAGACGGGCCACGTCGGCTGCCACGTCGGCTGCCCAGTCCCCCTAGCACCTCGCCAAGAGTGCGCAGGAAGGCTAGGTTGAAGGTCTCTGCTTGAGCGGCCTCCTCCCTTCTCAAGACGGCCTCCTCCCTTCTCAAGACGGCCTCCTCCCTTCTCAAGACGGCCTCCTCCCTTCTCACGGCCGCATCCAACTCCCATCTCCGCTCAGCAGACGCTTTGGCCCAGTCCAAGTGCCGTTCCTGCTGGGCCATGTGCTGTTCATGGTGCCGTTCCTGCTGGGCCCGATCCTCTCCTCCTCGTTTCCTCTTGCCTGGGTAACAATAAGATAATAATTAGCAATAAGGAAAAAACACAGGACAGGTACAGGTCACACAAGGATATAAGAATAACATGTATAAACAGAACAACAGTAAGGTGAACTAAAGAAAGTTCTGGCCCTAGATGTTTACAATGATTGTGAATTACATTATGTCCAGCCTGTTGATAATGAATATAAATATATGTATATGATAGGATGTCACACACAACTGTACTAGCTGCTTACTAGCTAAGACTTTACTTGTAACAGAGCATTTCCACACAGTGGTATAGCTTATTTTAATTACTGACGATGGATGATCCAAGGTTTAAAAAAACAAAACACAATTCCAGTCGTTTTGCCATTTCTATTTCTTACCTAGAACCACACGCTGCGGTGTCGTGATGGCACTCGGCGTTGGTGGTTGAGTTGGTGTCGATTCTTCGGCTGGTGTCTGTGGTCGAGCTGGGGTCCGTTCTGGATTCGATGACGATGTTGTGGACGGAACACTGCCATCACCCGTTGTTCGGGAATGTTCCTCCTCACTAGTCCCAATGTAATCATCTAGAACAGCAAAATGACTTGTTAATTCCACAAACTACTGCAGCACAATACTAAATAGCAACAACAACTATAGAAAAGAAAAACTGAACGTAAACAATGGCACATATGGTGTTAGCAAACAATAGCTCTAGCTAAGGCTATCTGCCTAGGCTATCTGCCTTAGCTAGCTATGTAGCTCTTCGGGGCTCCATAAAAGCATGGGTTGTCGAACATTAATGTAAGGATAAAATAGACTTCTTTGTTAGAAGTGAGCGTACCTTGCAGGGACTCCAGTAAAGCCGTTGCAGAATCCAGGCCTCCCTCCCTCCCAACGTTGGCCGGTCTATGGCCGTAAATCTGGTCCGACAAGTCGAACCACTTCCATTGTTTCCTACCCGCACCACTCGTGTTATTGTTGTCCTTTACTTGGCGATATTCACTCTTCATCTTTTTGAGTTTTTCCCTACACTGCAGGAAAGTCCTCGAAAATCCGCGTTCGGACATCTGTGCAGAGACATCCTGGAACACTTTCACATTTCGCATTGTTCCATCGAGCTCCTGCTGGATTTTATCATCCCCAATGAGATTAAGGAACGTCGTCACCTCCTCGGTCGACCACGGTGTGCTTTTCTTCGACGTTGCCATTTTGTAGCTCCTCCGTTTACAAAATGCTGTTTATAAAAATGCTGCAAGCTTGCTTCTAGATATATGCGCTGCTAGGGATGATCTCGCGCGCGATCTTGTGACGATTCTCTCTGACCAATCAGCAGTCGAGAGTGTTGACGTCACTAGTTCAGCCCTGGCCTGGTCTGATAGAACCACGATTTTATGGGGCCGGAAAAAGAGGGGAAAAGTACCCGCTAGCCGGTGCTAGGCTATATGGAAAGGCCACCAAAAACTGGCCTGGCCGCTTGAGGACGGTTAAGGACGCTTAAACGGGGCTACCCGCTGCAGTGGAAATGCGCCATTACAGGAGAAAGGAAATACAGAAAAACTGCCGTTGCAGGAAAGACGGCCAGCAAAAATCACCGACTGTGTGAACGTGAACATTAATAGAATATCACCTCCCATCTTCAGAGCAATCTGACTATTATAACATTAGCGTTAAGAAAGCTTACTTAAATATCTGCCACAACATAAGTAACCGGCAGTGGCGGATGGTGGAAAATATTTTTGGTGGGGCTATGGAAATAGGGACCAAACCATACTAAGGCGGTCCGGGGGGATATTCCCCCGGAAGAAATTTTTGAGAAATGACCCCTTAAATTATCTGGTGATGTTAGAGGGGGGGGGGAGGACAAATTGAGGCTTAAAAATATGAGATAATCCATAATCTTCAGTGTGGTTAGCTATGAATCTTCCAAAACTGTGCAACAGTAAAGTAGGCCCACACAAACTGCAGAACACTCGTGCTTTGGGAACACTCAAATGATTTAATTCACATTTAAAATCAGGAGACTAAATACGAACATTATGTGTGTGTGTGTGTGTGTCATACTTGCCAACCCTCCCGATTTTCGCGGGAGACTCCCGATTTCATTGCCCTCTCCCCGGTTTCTTCCCGGGGTCATATTTCTCCCGATTTCTGACAAAATCAGATTTACTCACGACTGTTTCCACTCAGACTTTAATACAGCTACACCATTGTTTGGTTTCCATGGTAGCGCGTCTCTTTAGCAGCGCTCAACTCAAAGTTTGAGAGGGTGAGGAAGATGAAAACTGAACAAGAATCGACAACTCCACCCTCTGCTCACTCTTTTCCTGTAAAACACAGGTCCAGCCCACACATATGCTCCATGGTGCTACAGGCATTGCCCTTACAACTACAATAAGCATGCAAATGTTAATCTACAGCTCCGGCGATCCACTAGCACAGAGACGCAGCCATCCTCGACAACTACTGTAGCGTCACCTTGGATACGAGTCCAAACAACTCACAGACACACAGGCCAGGGCGCTGACACCGCGCCCTTTGAGCATCAGATCTGACGAGGCTGATTGGCTGAAATTATGTTTCGGCGGCATAGTAGACAGATAGCAACAGTCAGCTTGTTGGCTGCTGCTGCTCTGGCTGAGGGCTCCTTTCTACCGCCCGGACGAGAGAATGATACACGCTGTGGCCAGGCAGGAAACATGTGACTTATCAGTAACTTTAGATATCGTAAAACAATTTTAAACGAGATTTTATTGTAGATTATACATTTTACTGATACCAATTATATAATATTTACCTTGTTCATTAAAAATAAAAATATATTTTTTTAAATATATTTTTTTATTTATTTTTAATTTTTAATGACAATCAAACATGTGGGAAGAGGGTGGGCGGCGCCCCTAGCGCCAGAGTTGGGTGTAATGCGTTACAAAGTAACGCGTTACTGTAATAATATTACTTTTGTCGGTAACGGAGTAGTGTTACGTGTTACTTTTATAATTTAGTAATCACACTACAGTTACTAACATTGCCCCGACACGCGTTACTTCGTTACTTTTATAAAATAATCACACTCACTGACAGACTAGAGGGGTTTCCACCGCAGGTTTATATACATGTAGGCCTATGTAATCTGCGCGACTTGCGAGACCACATCTCCACGTGCAGTGCTGCATAAACATGGCTGAGTCTTTTCATCTGTAAACTCCCTCAACGGGGCCGCTCGCTCTCTTTTGTTGATCGCCCTCTCACGGTTGAACAGTTCAATGTCCCGCTTCATTGTAGGAATTCTGTCTCTACCACTTTAGTTTGACCATCTCTATTACTAAGTTATGGAATACTAAATACATATGTAATTAGATACCTTACCGTTACTGCGCTCATAAAGAATGATAATAATAATGCGTCTTGAACTGGTTTAATTAATTAGTGTCTTGACGTTTCACAGACTGTTAGCTTGTTGTGGTAGGCTGGTAGCCTATTTTAGAGCATATAAAAAGAAAGACTTGTGTTCTGTCTTCCTTAATGCAATAGTAATTGGGGGTGCAAGTGGAGTCTCGCAGAGGCAAAACTGTGGCGCGCTTACACTGTAGGTGCGCCGCAGTCTGCGTGATCTGCCTGTAGGGAGGGGCGGGCCGGCCCTGCGAGTAAAGTAACGAGTAAAGTAACGAGTAAAGTAACGAGTTACTTTATGTAGAGAGTAACGAAGTAGTGTAATATATTACTTTTTTTTAAAGTAATATGTAATATATTACTTTTTTTTTTAGTAACGACCCCATCTCTGCCTAGCACCCCTATGGGCCGGCTGCCACTGGTAACCGGATCAGAGTAACATTAAGTACAGTCCGCGGCATATCACATCATAATGTATCATATATTTCCTTATCTGAGTCAGCTGAGCCGTATCTGGCCGTGCAACACTCACAGTGTCACATACTGTATGCAGAAGTATTATTTTAAGCAACACATTAAGTTGACGAAACACTCGAGTCAAATGTAATTAAAGTCAGATCCACTCGTGTCTTAGACGGGGCAGTGATATCATAAACCTGTTAATGTACGCATTCAAACACTTGTTCTGTTACCAGCTGTATTCACCTTGCAGGTGCAGCTATGTGGCTTTGATCCTGGATAAAGTGTTTAAGTCATGGATCTTTAAAGTTTAACTTCTTTATATGTCTAATATTATAGTTGACTTTTCATTCAGGAAGTATGACGCAGCGCTGTCCGTATGCTTCTCCATGTTTGTGATTGGTCGAATGCTCCAAATACCACCCCTTTCATGTGAACGCGCACCTAACTAGATAGGACACGGCTGGCTTGAGCGATCCACTTGATAACCAGCGTCGTAGTACAGTTTAGCGAGAGCGCGTATGTTCTGGATTAGGCCAACCGGCTAACTCAAACATATCCAGGTTAGGTTGAACCAGCTTCGTAGTACAGGCCTCTGGTGGAGAGAAAACAAACATATGCTGAGAGGAAACTGCATATTCAAAAAAACACCTATACGAACAAATTCCAAACTTCAGTGCATCACAACACCCGGTGTTAATCTATGGAATAACTGTAATGATGAGCTGAAATACTGTGCAACTTTATAGAAACTAAAATAACTATTCAGAAACAAAATCCTGGTTATGGACAGGACCGGTGATTTCCTGCTGTTGACAGTTTGGGTTTACCTGTAAAGATTATTTGTGTTTTTTTTTCACAAAGGGATGATCTGTTTACAACGGCAAGATGCTGATGACGATGAACTTTTATTTTCTTGAACGATGCATGCTAGTAGGACCAGAACGTTTTCAGCTTCTTCTCGCCCTTTTGAACATGAAGGAAACTATTTTAGTATTTGTACCTTGTAAAGTCTTTTGTTATTTTTTTCCTTTTTATTTTGTTTTGTTTTTAACATGTATAATAAATATTTTTTAAATGATTAGATTTAGCGGTTAATGTGGCACCGTATTGTCGTCATTACGGATGCATTAGTAGCCTTGAACATTAGCTAGCTAATGCTGCCTTGTAAGAGGGAAAACATTGCAGAAAGGAAACACAGACGTTACTGAACCAGCTCGGGTCAGGAGGGGTGTTTCATGTATCATGTCTGCCTAGAGCACCAAAGGTATGCAAATATGGACAAATGTAACCAGCAAAACGCTCGGTTGTTTCTTAAAATTTAGAACTAAATGTTTTTATAAATACAAAAGATATATCTTCTGAACAAAATATAATACGTTTTCACAACTTTTACTTTTTGCAATTCTTTGTAGAACTCAAACTTGAAGTGAAATATAAATAGGTTATCTCAACAAAAGATCATTTGTTGGCTCAAATGTATGGAGCAGTAGCGCTGCGATTGTTAAGTGGCTACACTAGATGGATGTCACACATTTATAATGTCAAATTATAAAATCCTTTATTTTTGGCACTATGTTGCAAAACATTTAAAAATCTGCTTTGCAGATAAACACAAAAATGGTATCTCTCTTCCAAGACCATCTCTCCCACCGACAGTCAGCCCTCACTGCCTGTCTTCCAGATATTAAACCATGTACAGGGTTCCTGCAGGTTTCGCCAACTCAAATGTAAGACTTTTTAAGACCTTTTTAAGACCACTTTGAATAGAATTTAAGACCTATTTCACGGCAAGAAATATGAAGGAAAATTGCTATGAAAGAAGAAAAACGTCCAATAATTACTTACAAAGTAAATGTATTCATGTTCAACATAAGAATAATGACTGAACATAACAGCATAACAGTACAGAACTGTGTTAGCGTGTTAGACAAAAAGTGTGTCTGTGTGTGTGTGTGTGTGTGAGAGAGAGAGTGTGTATCTGTGAGAGAGAGAGTGTGTGTGTCTGTGAGAGAGAGAGAGAGTGTGTTTGTGTGTGTGTGTCTGTGTGTGTTAGGGCTGTGCAATTAATCATATTTTAATCGCAATTACGATTTTGGCCTGCCACAATTACGAAAACAACATAATCCAAAAAAACTATTATTTTGCTTTGCTAGGTTGTGACAGTGCACTGCAACACTGCAGAGAGAGAAACAAGAGCTATATTCAGAGCTCTGCTGCCTTAGCTACAATCTTTCATCGTTGCTGTTGTATGATTGGTGTTTAGCTGCGGTATTTAGCGTCTACAGCACCTCCACTTTTAGGGTTGACGTAGACCCAAACTTCGCCCGGAGGTCCCCCGGTGTTGTTGCGGGAGCTGCTGCACTAGCTAACGCTGCAGTAGCTGCTGCTGC